GTGTGTGTGTTGGGGGGGGGGGGAATTCTCTATGCCACGCACAATTACAGAATTGGAAGGCATTTTAAGCTTTCCCTCACCTTTAAACTTCCATTCGTTACTTCAATTTGTCTTTCAAGGAACTTGTAGTTGTTGGTAATCAACTAATTAGATTCAAGTGATCCATCCAAACACCAAGAGTCATGTTTAGATGTTGGTTAGTGATGGTGCTAAAAATTGAGAGACATGAGGTGGAAAGCTGGATGAGCTCTTGGTGGGTGTCGTTTGTGTGTAAAAATGAATGAGAATACACAAGAAAATAAGTGGTTCACCAGTTGAAAAGCGTGGTTAATCCACTATAATGGAGGCTCTCGTTCTTTAATTGTATATTGCTTTCTTGAAGAAGAAGACTACAATAGTGTTTTTTCCCTGCTTTTTATCCCCTTTTTACGTAGTGATCATTGCTTTTTATAACAGCATATTTGGGGAATATTTAGGGAATATTCAAGAAATATTCAGGGAATATTCTGTGTGGCTTATTGCCCAAGATATGGGTTGATGGTGAAAACCTTTTTCTACCATTTCTCATAGTTTCTTTATGGTTTGCTGCCACCTGTATTTTTTTTTCGATATTATCAGTTACACCCCAACCCCGAGCAAGGACTAATCTGAGTTGTCCATTGGGTGGGGCTGAGTATTTTAGCTCGAATCAAAGATGTTTGGGAGTTTAAGGGGTATGTAGAAAAAGCTCCACGAGTTCTGAAAACCTTGTTCTGCTTTGGACTGAGGTTGGTTGAGCTAACTTCTTCTTTTAGGCTGAGGGGCCAAGCCGAGCTGACTAGCTTTAGAGCAAATGAGTTTTCTAAGGAATTTACGAGGGGGTTGACCAACCCGAGNGGCCAAGCCGAGCTGACTAGCTTTAGAGCAAATGAGTTTTCTAAGGAATTTACGAGGGGGTTGACCAACCCGAGTTCAATTGTTGTGGTTAAGCAATCCAAACTTTGTGATTTTGAGTGAGTCTTGGGTTATTGTCAGTCGAGTAAGTCCAAGATGCCAATGCCAAGTTTGATTGGACGTGATCGATATAGCTAATAAACTTAACAATGTTGAAGCTGAATAGCCTGATCATGTTGAAGTTGAAAAGCTCGAGGCTAAGGCTGATGATCCTAACAATGCTGAGATATAAGAGATGTTTATACTAAAAAGCTCGGGCTGAAGAGTCAGGTCTTGCAACGATTGATGAACGAAACAATGTCTTAACTGAAGAGTTCAATCATACTTTGAATGAAGACCCATGTTATGTCTTGGCCGAAGAGCCAAGTCGGTTGAAGAGCCAGATCATGCCTTGGCTGAAAAGTCAGATCGAGTTGTAGGGCCTGATCATTTCTTGGCTAAAGAGCTAGGTCGGCTGAAGGGTCAAGTTGGGTCGAAGAGCTAGGTTGTTCCTTAGCTGAAGAGTCAAGTCATTCTTTGGCTGAGAAACTAGGTCGGCTGANTGGCTGAAAAGTCAGGTCGGCTGAAGAGCCACGTCTTTCCTTGGTGGAAAAGTCAGGTCATTTCTTGGTTGAAGAGCCACATCTTTCCTTGGCTGAAAAGCCAGGTCATTCCTTGGCTGAGGAGCCAGGTCGGTCCCTGGATGAAAAGCCAGGTTGGCTGAAGAGCCAAATCCTTCCTTCCAAATTATTCCTTGGCTGAAGAACAAAGTCGTTCCTAGGCTAAGGAGCCAGGTTGGCTGAAGAGTCGGATCCTTCCTTTGTTGAAAAGCCAGGTCATTCCTTANGAAGAGCCAAATCCTTCCTTCCAAATTATTCCTTGGCTGAAGAACAAAGTCGTTCCTAGGCTAAGGAGCCAGGTTGGCTGAAGAGTCGGATCCTTCCTTTGTTGAAAAGCCAGGTCATTCCTTAGCTGAAAAGCTAAGTCGACTGAAGAACCACGTCTTTCCTTAGCTGAAAAGTCGCATCGTTCCTTGGCTAAAAAGCCAAGTCATTCTTTGGCTGAAAAGCCAGGTCGGCTGAAGAGCCAGGTCGTTTCTTGGCTGAAAAGCCAGATAGTTCCTTGACTGAAAATCCTGGTCGATTGAGGAGCCACGTCTTCCCTTGGCTGACAAGCCAAGTTGGCTAAAGAGCCACGTCGTTCCTTGGCTAAAAAGACAGGTCGGTCCTTGGCTGAAAAGCCAGGTCGACCGAAGAGCCGCGAATTATATATGTAAGACTTTAGCAGATTGTCACAGATATGAGGGGTGATTGTGCCAACAACTATTAATGGTGTTACTCCTTTCTGTAGAATTTCTTCTTGGGCATCTAAGAAGGCAACCTGAAGTTGCTCGGAGTGCACCAAATGCGCGTGGCTGATTTTTGGGATTTCGACTCATGCTTATGTCTTGAACCATTGGTCAATCGTTAAGGATTTGATTTAGAACGATGAAAATCCTTCCCATAGACGACACTAAATCGATGGTGCTAAAAAATCGAGAGGCATGAGGTGGAGAGTTGGATGAGCTCTTGGTGAGTGTGTAAAAATAAATGAGAATACACAAGAAAATAAGTGGTTCACCAGCTGAAAAGCTTGACTAATCCACTGTAATGGAGACTCTTGCTCTTTGATTGTATATTATTTTCTTGAAGAAGAAGAGTACAATAAGATTTTTTCCTTACTTGATGCCCTATTTTTACATAGAGATCACTGCCTTTTATAACAAGTACTAGGAGAATATTTAGGAAATATTCAGAGAATATTCTGTGTAGTTTTTTGCCCAATATATGGCTTGATGGTGAAAACCCTTTTCTACCCCTTCTGGTAGCTTGTTTGTTATTTGTTGCCTCATGTAACAATTCCAAGAAAAGCTAAAGAGAAGGAGGCTTGGAATTTGAAGCGACTGAATCTGTAAAGTCTTTTCCTGTCTCAACCCTGATTGAAGAACCAATAACGAAATGTCTAGAGGCAGAGAGAAATTACAACAGACTAGCGCAGAGAGATCCACGCATAGTTTTCCAAAATAATTCAGAAGGATCAAGAAGACCCGCAACCGATCCATATAGAGAGGGAGATTTAAACACTGAGGGAGACACTATGTCTACTCCTTTTATTACTAAAATTGTATTCAATATATTTAATTTTATTCTTACTTATTTTAAATCCTTTTAATTCGAGTGTGTTTCTCCAAAATTTTAAATTATTATTAATCTCTATTTGAGTTTCGTCTACTAAGACAACGAATAAATACTATAGGTGAGCTATATATAGGGGCGGTTCAAGCCAATTTAAGGCCTATGACGGAAAACATTGAATGGAGGTCTTTTTATTTTTAATATTATTTATTTAAAAAAATTAATTTATTTTTAATTTTTTATGTACACTAATGCTATTTGGACATAATTTAGATATTTAATGCATTATGATTATTGGATTGATAGTGTTGGGACTCAGTGATAATTTAATGTTGGGACCCACTAACAATCTAATGACCACAATCGTTAAGTCCCTAAATTATGTTCTCAAATTTTGTCCCAATAATATTGCTCTTTTATCTAAGAGAGAGACAAAATAAAGATGTGTTAATGTTGTCGAAAAAAAGATTTCAACTTTTGTTTTTTTTTT